TATGATTTTGGACTGAACTAGATGCATTTGCATCCAGATGCACCATCAAGACTCACCCTCATTTGAGTGAGAATTTGAGATGAGTTTTTAACAAATCAGTTGGGTGATCCATCTAGATGTAGCATTTTAATGTACAAAACGAACATTGATTTGCATCTTCACCCAGATGGATCACCTGGGTGAGCAAACGAACAGCACCCTAATGGTTTCTTCATGGATCCAGTCTGCTACAAAGATCAGGAAGTCGTAAGTCTGCGTATTCGCCATTGATCCTCCCCTCCGTGTCTCCTTCTTCTTAGCTGCCGTCGCGTTGCGTCGAAGAGATCGAGAAGAGGAATAGTCGTGTCGCGTGAGAGAGAGAGAGGATGTTCTGATTTTTTTTTCTGTTTGTTTAGTTAATTTTAAAACAAGGATATTAGAGACATTTTACAAATTAATGAATGTCATTTTTGTGACTTTTCCTATCTAGTGCTATTTTGGAGATAAAAACTTGAGAAGTGCTATTTTGGTCAATTGCCCAAAAATATACTCTCTTTTTCGTCCAACTAATTTTACTCCATGTAATCTACTTAAAAAAATTAACCAATTTTTATAACTACATATAAATAATATATTTCATTAATATAATCAGTTATATTTCTTCCTACAGATCAGGTCACATAGGAATTTACTATTCTATGTTTTTTACGTGAAACACAAAATTTCTTTCACTTTAAATTGCTGTTGCAAAACCCCATTTTAATTTTGAAACGTTTATTGGATCTGCAAATATAGGTTTAAACCACACAAGAGATTCAAAACTACTTGCAACAAAAAGATATATAACAAGTAGCAAGCAAAACCCTGACAATCAACTTACACATTCAATGTCGGTTTTTTTGCAGAAACCCAATTCTAATTACAACTTATATATTTGTTAAATTTTGACATGTACATTTTTCAAGCTGATACGATTAATCTTTTTCAAATATCAAAGACTGCCAGCCCTTCATTTCGATTGGAAAAGTGAGCCGATCCACAGACCTAATTGATCTGGTTTCTGAGAGCACTGACAAGGCTAAACTCGCCGGTTGAAGAGAGCACTGAATCATTCGAAAGGGGAAGCCTCGACTCTTCTCTTTGCCCCTTAAGTAGAAGGACAAGAAAGATATTTTTTGTTTTATTGCTCCCGCTTCCTCACATCTGCGCTCGTCAAGCCAACTTTGCTTTTTTTGGGAGGCGTTCCTCGGGGTTGTGACTAGTTCATTCAATTAGCTCTAAACTGATGAGTTTATGTTTATGTTCAGTAAAAGTTTAGCTCTCTCTTAAACGGCAATTTAGCTCCCTCTTAAACGCCATTGTTCATTATTACTCACAAGAGAGCTTTTAATTTTGAAAGGACACGACCGCTATTATATTTGAAACAGTCCATGACATTCTCGTGATAGACTTCACTGCACGCAAGGAGTAATCAACCAGCAAACATAAACTTCACGCTGAGGAGGTCAAAAACATACATAATTTTTTTAAGCTATCTACATAAAATTATCCGGAAAGAAAAAACAAATAATATACCCTGCACTGTGTAATGCGGGTCAAATTCTAGTCTTCTTTATTAAAACAGAATCACCCTTCCATTCCCTGGAATATTATTCTTTTGCCACTGGACTTTTTTTTTTTTTAAACTGTTTTTACATATTTCTATCCACTTTCTGTCGACATATATATATATATATATATATATATATATATATATATATATATATGAAGTTACGAAATATTTTCATTAAACAAACAGTTATATTTTATTTATAGATTTTTTAACTTAAAAACAAAACGTGGTCCTCAACTCAATCATCTTAACCCACGATATTCAACTGCAATCTTAACCTTGAAGCAATTCACACCACTATCAGGAGAAACTATGGAGATTGTTTTGTCTGATTCATATGTACTTTTCTTAACTCACTAATCATTCATTCTGTTATATCTTCTCATAATTCTTAACTACATCTATATGGCAGAGTACTAACTAATTTTCAAGCTTCTATTTTTTATATTTTGTTTGATGTGATTTTAAGATTTTAAGCTTCTTTCAACTATTCTCCAAAAAAAGAATTTATTTTGAAACAAGAGTAACATTTAGTTTTGTCTCTCTATCATTCTTATAATCAATAACATACAACAGATATATATGCAAATTAACAACGTCCGAGTTCTTAACCTCTCTACCATTTTTTTCAGACAGATCTTACTTCTAACCTCTATCTAAGTTCTATGTAGTGATTTACATGTTATTCCAATGCTTAAGGGTGTTTCTGATTTTTAATTTGCGTTCCATTTACTCAATGTCATGAGTGATGGCATCTTCAAGTTTTCCATTGTGATGGCATCTTCTTTATTCCAGCAGCTCCTGTCAATAATACAAGAGTTCGATAAGAAGACAGCTTAAATATATGGGAAATTGCCAGAAATAACATTTTCAAGATACCATTTTTCAACTTTACACTAACCAACTTTACCACTAAAATTTTAATACTCAAAATACTATTAGAATTTACCAACTTTACACTAACCAACTTTACCAATAACATTTTCAAGATACCACTTTTTTTTTTATATAACACTTGGGAAAATGAAACAGATAATTCATGAACAAAGAGTTAGACTATAAGAAACTTATCTTTTTGTTTGGTATCTTATTCTCGCTGCCACTGGATAAGGTCCTTTCTGATAATTAACTCCTGCAAGATCAAAAGAATCCTTCCATAAGTTGTATATATATGGCTTCTATACCAATCACCATATCCCGTTTTTTTTTTTTTTTATAACACTTGGGAAAATGAAACAGATTGTTCATGAAAAGAGTTAGATTATAAGCAACTTATCATTTTGTTTTGGTCTCTAATTCTCACTGCCACTGGATATGGCCCTCTCTGATAATTAACACCTGCAGATCAAAAGAATCCTTCCATAAGTTTTATATATATGGCTTCTAAACATAATTAAATGTTTGAAAATAGAGTTGGTATGTATACCAATCACCAAAAGCATAACACTGGTTACACAAAAGCTCCAAGAAGTCATATAAACATCTTCTTTCATCAATCGTGGTTTTAGCTATTTGAGTTTATTACTTGCTGAACCTGAGAAAATATAACCAATTCGTTAAAACTGTGGTGAATTTTAATTTTTCTGAGAATTAAAATAAGGCTGATTCATAGATTGTTTACCGGATTATTGTCAGTAGCTTTTAACAAATGAGACTATATATCTTTAGTACTTTTGAGT